CGTCGCAACCGACGTGAAGCTCGCGAATTCGACACATTGGAAGAGAAAACATCTTTTTGGCCGTCAGTGTTTGTTACGAGGCCGTTGGATTGCTAGAAGTATGTGAGGTACGAACAACGTTCTGGTCTTCGCTCGAACCGCCTTCACTCATCTGGGATGCGGCGATTGGAAATATGCTGAAGTCCGGCACCCTGGATTTTCGTTTGCTGGATGTTAGTTCAATGTGCATTCTTTGGCTGTTACCTGTATCTAAATATATTTAGTCGTAAGAAAGAAAAAGAGAACCGAATGAAGTGGCCCGCGAATGTTGATAGACTCATAATAATACTTCTTGTTAGATATAAATACGTATATTCGCTGACTTCAGTTTTTACCTCCCAGAAGAAATTGAAAATTAAATCTCGCTAAACGTGGAACAGCTTAAAACCTACCGAAGCAATGGAACATGAAATGAATATTGGTTTTGTTTATTTTACATATTTTCAGAACGATGCTATTATCTATTATCGGAAGATGTTCACCTCTTCGAACGAAGGAAGGCTTCGCCAATACACTCTTTACGTCCATAAATCCAGTCGTGAAGGCCTTGTGAAAGTTTTTTCGGAACTGTATTGATCCATTCCAGATACAAATATGGATTTGTCGGACTTACCTGCTGTTTGATGTAATCCCGTGTACCTGTAACTCTGCGGCGGCGTGTTTTTTTTTTTTTTGAAGATTGATTTTGAGCACAGAAGCTGTATTCAGATGTTCGCGGCTCAAACGAGCTATTTTCCATGCTCAGGACGGCGTGGGAGCAACGAACGTCCTGAGCATGGAATACGGAAATAGAGCAAGGAGTGGGAGAAAGTGGGAGGGGGGGGGGGGAGGGAGCTGCTGCAGTCTCGGCCAGTGTGCCGTGGGGCACGCTGCCCACGCCCACCAGTGCCGCGCCCCTACTGTAATTATATTTTAGATGATCTTTGTGTCCAAATAAATAAAAAAAATGACCGCTTCTAGCGGATGAGCTTGGATTCGCTAGAAGCCGTGGGAACGCATCTCCACCGCTTAAGTCAACGGTCCATGTCAGGAAGAGAATGTGTGGTATGGAACGTGGTTATATACGCATTTGAGCATTTGACCGCACCACCCTCTCGTCTATAAACGTTGAGCCAGTGCATGCAAAGTTTAACGCGATTATATACGCATTAGATCGCAGCGCCCCCTCCTGTATAGGCGTTGAGCGGCTACAGGCAACGTTTCATCCATGATAGAAACCACAGCCCTTGAGTTACTACCACATCTCAGAGCCCCCTACTCGTCCCGCAGCTGTGGCCGAGTGGTTAAGGCGATGGACTAGAATTCCATTGGGGTCTCCCCGCACAGTTTCGAATCCTGTCGACTGCGCAAACATTTCTTTTTTTTTTTTATGAGAGCACGGACGCCGGCCGGATGGACGGACGGACGGACGGGCAAGGCTTGACCTTAAGGAACTTCGCCCCTAATAAATAAATAAAGTGACCGGATGGGACTTTCTGCAGCGAAGTGACAGCTGATGCAATATGCGACTTTCTGAGTATGACCTTCAGCCGCGACAAATATCCTTACGTCATTGACTCGGATCACGGGCCACAGTCTCGATACCACGCCTTCCAAGAGTTCAGGAAGTCAAGAGGATTTTTTTTTGGAATCGGTCCACGATGTACAACCCACGAGCCAATGTCCAGGTTCAAAGGTTCAACCGTGTTCTTCAGGGGAACGTTCAAACCACCATGCAGCATCATGGAAACCTTCGTACTTGGATTAGCGAGTCCCTAGGTGGATAAAAAAAGTACACCACATGCAGCCACAAAGCTCTCTCGTGCAGAACTAATTTATGAATGTAGAATGAGAACACCTCTAGACATCGTGAGTTGTCCGTGTCTACACAAGCCTGTTCACATCTGTAACCATTGCTGATTACGATTGTTAATAACGAGAAATGCAGGAAGAAATACACAAACGATGGGTGGTGGGAAAAGACGTTATCAATATGCGTCTGAGACTCCGTCTGAGTGAAGATCCTTGCATAACATTCAAATCGAACGCCGTCGTTTTGGCCACATGTACATGTACCAAAAGCAGTCAAAACAAGCACCTTTTTCGCAACAGAAGGATAGCGCTGGAATTCGTCGTTCTGGTCTCGAGCATATCCAGCACGAAACCAGTTACAGGAGGTCAACTCAGATACAAGAGAAACAACGAAAACTAGCCATCAACGATTGGTGGATCTTCCTTCGAAGATCCACTAGAAACAAGAAACCTCTAAACAGGTTTTCCCCTTAGGAACTTTTTAACATTGGGGGTAGTGTGTTGTGCCCACGAGCAGTGCTTCCAGACCGAAAGAGGGCGGAGGACAGAAGGAAGGACGGAGTGCGAGGACAGGAACTGTTTGTTTTTGCTGAGTCTAGAATAGACTCCAGTATCAACCCTTTTCTTACCATCGACGAGCTGGGCTCGCTCACATTGTTTGTACCGTCCCACCTGAATTGGGCTTGGCTCTTCCACGCAGAATAAAACAAATGCCGTTTACCAAAGACAAGGTGGATAGTCGACGTGTGTTTAGTGTTGTGTGCCTTCAGAAGATATCGCAAAAATGTGATAAATTTTGAGATTTGGCCGAAAACCAGCTTACCGCTGGTAAGATAGCGTTTAAAAATGGCGGCGTCCACTTTTGGAAGCAATGTAATTCGTGACAATTGTGAAAAAAAAAAAAAACGCGCGAAAAACGGAGATTTTACAACATATCCTTCCTCTGAGATGACAAGGACATAAACCTTTCTTCCGACAGTGAGTGTGAGGCCACTGAGCTATTTGGCCTTAGTACTGACGACTCCGATTCGGATGCAGACACTGGTTTGTCTGGTCGGCATTGGACGAGAATCAACGTGGAGATCCCTCTTCTTGCGCTTACGCGTTTTTGCACTCCAGTGCTGCGCCGGATATGAACGTTGACGTAGAGGGTTATGCAAACTGCGTACGCTACTATACTTTCATGTTTACGCCATATATACATGTTTACGCTACGATACATATGAACAATTTTGGATCGTTTCTCTAAGTATTTCGGTAGGCAAAGGGTTAAAGCGACACGATCACAAAACATCGTGTCGTCACGTCCCGTAACAAAAGAACGTCCCTTCAAAGCTTGGCCTGATATGACAGTGACATCACGTTACCTTATGTAATATCACGAGGTAAGGAGTGGTGAGAAACGTGACCACGTGGTTTCTCGTGGTCCACATGATATCTTTGCCGCTGTGACGTCACTTTATTTATGAGGTCACGTGGCACAGTCACGTCATTTTGTCACCATGACGTCAGGTTACACCTCGACGCCGTTGAGTAACTAGAAATGACATCATTTAAAGTACCATTGAGATACAGGCCAAAGAGATAGAACGCTTCTCTTTAATTAGACCGCCTACTGGAGAACTAAAGAATTACATGCTTGAGAGCGTTATAGAATATAAGTATGTGGGAGTTTATTATTCGTGCATTTTGACATAGAATCATCACGAAGATGATACTGTTAGAAGGCTAATATATTTTTGAACTTCGTCCACCTTTTCGGACGAATTTTTGATTCGTCGCGCAGTTTTAACAAGCACTGTATTTTACTTTATAAAAAAATATCTTAGAGCACACTTGTGTTATTTGGGACCAGGCTCAGAGTTATCTTGTGCATATGTACGACGAAATTATAGATCTTGGATTGGAATATCCAATAAACCACTACCGTTTACGAAAGAGAGGCAGAGAATGAGTTAGTTTTTCTTTCTTTTCAAAACTGAACAAAGTGCTTAGGGATCCACACTCCGTATCACGGAGTGTGGATCACGGAGTGTGGATTCCATCGTATGACTCCACCTGTTTTCTTTCTGCTACAATTATTCTAAAAAGTGACAAATTATTTTTTTCCTGTTTTGGAGTTTGGTCCAACCAGTCGGGAGTATCTTCACGTTCAGAAGGGCTAAACCAAGTCAAGGATGATGTACTGTTTTGTTTTTTAATTATAAAATTCAGAGCTGAATTTTATGTTAACATTTATTTTTCATAGCTGCGAAGAGTCGAATTCACGCGTGATCTTGTTGAATACACAGACTCCTCGTTATACGCTGCTGTACATATTGACAACCTTATTAATACTCTTTTCGTAAGCTGGGAGTAATTTCTAGAATCAAAGTGAGTTCTCCACATCAACTTGTATTCTACGGTTATATGTCTCATTAATCCAATTCAAGTTGAATTTTTCCTCTTTTGTCTGGAATTGTATTAGTATTACAAGCCAAGAGATGATTGAAAATCTTCAAAAGCGTTTTTTTTAATTGTCTATGATTGTTACGTTACATTGGTCGTACTGTTTATTATTCTTATGCGAGTCTGTTGGAACAATGCAAATGCCCTACCTTGAGTTCTAGACGACGTGAGAGCGACCTCGTTTACCGGTTTAAACGTATTCATGGGCCTATTAATTTCCAAGATCTCGCATCTGCCATTAATATTCACGTTCCGAGTCGAGTTTTGCGGTTTTCTCCAACTTTCTATGTTAATCACATGATCCAAACCAGCTTCATGACCCGTATTCAGCACTTCTGCAATACCCTCAATGGAGCAGATACTGATGTTTTTAAACCAAATTGTGTAGCTTTTAAGACTTTTGTAACCAACCTGTAAACAGTTTGTTGTGCATCATTATCAAGGCGTCCAGCTGTTCATGAGCACAGAAAATAAACAAATAAATGAATGAATGAATGAATAGCTGTTTTCGTACGTATCTTGAAAAAAACGGGTTTCTTTGACGTGTGGTTGAATGTACCCCCTGCACAATGGCACAAAAGTAATTTGCGGTTGTAAATAAAAATTAAAGACGCATACCCAGTATACATTCAATTCAGCATAGTCGTTTTATAACACAATGATCCACAGAAACAATTAAAAAAGCAAGTTTGTTCAGACTTAGTCGTTCTTTATCCTCATAGGTAGACCTACTAGCTGCAAGCCTGGTGTCTCTCAAACTTCCGGTGGGTTCCAGGGTCGCCATAGTGGCTCCAAAGGTTTACGAAGTGGCACAGCTACTGTTTGCCGCCTCTAAGGCGGGACTTGTTATGGTAAGTACGGTTTACTTGTTTCGCTGTCCATGCTAAGTGTACAGATAACGTGCGCAGCAGTGAATCTTGGCTCCCGCCTGTTCTGTTATCCAGGTTGGCATCAACTCATTCTGCACGCTTTCCGAGCTTGAGTATTGCTTGAATAAGGTAAGTCATCTCGACCTCATGGGCGTTTTTCTTATTTGTAGACAAGTCTACAACGGCTACCTTCAACAGCGAAACACTGTAGTCATTAGCCACCTTCGTGTAAGGGATATAGAAAAGCTTGAGACGTTTACGAATCCCTGTAATGCGAAATTGGAGCGCAGCTCTTAAGAAGGAGGAGGGGGGACACGGAGGAGGGTACTCCTCTCCCCTCCTCCTCCTCTTTCCCTCCTTGTCTCTTCATCCCGTCCTCCTCTGCTCCTCCTCCCTTCCTCCTCCCTCCCACCTTTCCTCCTTTTCCTCCTCCTTCTCTACCCGTCCTCACGTCCTCCTCCCCCTCCATACCCTCCCCTCATCCTACAGTTTCCCCGCTACATTTAGCGGGAGAACGGATATCACGTGACCTAAACATCAATTCTATTTCCCCGTTAAGTGGGGAAAATGACGTCACATGCCTTCGTGCCACGTCACCCATTAAAAAATTCAGTTTCTCCACTAGATTTGGCGGTAAAATTGACATCACGTGACCTAAACATCAATTCGATTTTCCGCTAAATTTAGAGGGGCGGTTGCACCGACGTTGACAGGGACTCCGTGAAAAGCGGAAACTGGAGCCCTAGAGCTGCACTCTAAAACAGATCTTGTAATGAACTCTCTATTGATCGCCATCGTAACGTAAATCGAAACGTGGTGTAGCAACTCGTCATCACATGCCTCTGAACTAACCTTGCTTTTGGTAAAGTGGCCTAGAGAGGGAGTAAGATGTAAGCTGGGCGAGTTGGTACTGGTTGAACGTGGTAAGAAAAAGGCACAAAAAGACGAGCACAGGGACAGGAACAGAACACAGAAGACAGAAAAACGCTAACTCGCAACTCAAATGTATTGTCGTGGCGGCTTCTGGTGGAGGTTTAACGTCACCTACTATAGCCTACCACATGGGCAGGTCGTGTTGGGTTCCCTTATATTGTGAAGTTCGCCGTCTGAGAGCGGTGTGCTCGTTTCGTCTTACACGGTAGGACATATCAAGTTTGGTCTGATATGAGCGGTGGTATCAAATCTCCGATGCCTCAACTCATGCGGCAGATATCTGCAGCTGCGGTCGCTGACGTCATTCACATGTTGTAATGAGCGAGGGGAGGTAGCTTATCTAGAGCGTTGGATGCTGAAACTTTTCTAGGCATTGCCTTGATTGATCGTTCCGCCAGCGCTCCTATATAGTACTGCTTAATACGATTATGTGCGCCTTAAAATAAAAAGGTGAAATACTGTTACGTTCGGCCCACTGCCAAACACTTTCTGCTGGTAAGAGATAAGAACTGGACACGATATTACGACGTGCCAAACTAAGAGTAAGAATAAAACGAACTTTACCGTGCACGCTTTGACTACATTTTTAAGTGAGTTATAGCGCGGCAACAGGAGCTATTTATTGAAATTGTGCTACGCGAGCTGTGGATTGTCATTCGACGGTGCTTTGATGCCTTTGGTCTAGAAACGTTTCGTGGAACTATAATCATTTTTGCATACAACCACAAACCAGCGTCTAGCGCACGTGATTCAAACCAGATTGGTGCGGCGTCGTTCTCCACCCACTTTCAATTACCCCCGAGTATGGTATTTGCGAATTGGACAACAGCATTACTGAATATTTGGTTCTACTTAACGCTTTCGTCTGTAATTAAATTCAGCGCCTTATGAGCTTGTTGGAAAATCGCAATTTATGGTGTGACTGCTTGCCCTTGAGGTCCAATAACAACTTCAATGAACCCCATACCAGTCAGATGAAATTATGCATTCCTATGAAATAAATCCTATAAACATTCTTTTGTTCAAGAAGACGAAGGTGCATATACCAGTTGTCGTTGATCGGCATACGTGGTGTGCAAGCGCTTGCTATGATGGAATCTTTCGACTCTCGTATGGTTATAACGGAAAGCGGCCTGCTCATTGGCTATCAAATGACTTCCAAAAAAAGTCCGGGGCATGTGCAGGTGCTTCTCACGATGCCGCGAAAGCTTGAACTACTGTTGGTGTCCGGAAGAGGAGTTGCGCTGCGTCTCCTTACTCACCCGCGACTCATTTGAGTAGGGGAGAAGGCGAGGAGGCATGAGAGAGGTAGCGGAGCTCCCTGTGTGGATGCCAAGAGTACTTTAAGATTTCGCCCTTGGCGTCGTCCTTGCGTAAAAAAAAAACAAACAAAAAAAAACTATTATTTTTAGGCAGAATGTGCGGCTGTGATCCTTGGAGAAGAATTTGGCTCTGTAAGTTTCTACGAGATGTTGCTTAAAATTGCACCAGAACTAGAGAAGTCGACGCCGGGAATGTTGAAGAGCGAAAGGTGACGATAAAGATATTTCCCTCCATGAGGCCCAGAATTTCTTTGCTGGATATCTTTCGAAGTGCCGTAACTTTCACTGCATTCTTTCAGGCTACCGTTCTTGAAGCACGTGATCACCACAGGCGACACCCGGAAGCCGTAAGTAACCTAAAGTCTCAGATGTGTGTGTCAGTTAATGAGTGCTTTTGTGGGTGACAGGCTGTGCATTTTGTTTCTGTGGAGCGTGATTTACATAAGTGGCTTTATTCATGTTCTTTTCTCTTAGGACAAACGACTGAAAGCTGAATAGTTTCTTTCTAATAAAACACTAAAGTCTCTACACGAGGCTGACATGTCTTAATATTTGTTCGCTCTAATTCTCGTTGTATTCAAGTGGCCGATGTAGCGCGTTCAATGTTGAGGACGGAAGAGATTGTGCGACCGACTCCGAGCTTAGGTGAAAACGTTATGTTTAATCCACGTGCCGTTGGTCTCGAGCCAATGAGTCGATTTGTTGTGTTTGTTGGTGGCGACACTGGACGTATTGGCAGCTACAGGTAGCTCCCCCCCTAAAGACGTCACCTGTAGGATCGCTGCAGGCTGCAGGGGACGGAGCGATCCTGTGAGCAGTAGGTGGTGAAGCTTCCAGGAGTAGCGCTGTTGCTGTCGGCGTGTTGCGAGCAGAATGACGCTGCAGGAAGCGGTGGACGTTGAAGACAGGGTGTGGAGACCGGGCAGGTTTTGATTAAGGTTGATGTCAGGCGAAATAATGACAGCGGGAACAACGATCGGGTAGTGCTCTGGCTCCGAAGTTTAGTGGGCTCTATATCCACTCGGGCTACAGGGGAGTTGCAGGCCAGCTGCGGGACCGATTCAGTGTAATTCCGGGAGATGACGCACCAAGTGGAGAGCAGATGCCTGACGTAGTAGGAATGAAGAGCACTTGGACGGTCAGCGACGTGCCTTATGAACAGACTGGCGCGTCGTGACTTGCCATGCTCCAGCGTGGCGCGGTGTGGCACGCCCCACATGTTGTGGCAGCACGCGACCGTGCCAGGACAGTACCACACCACACAGATGGGCACGACTGCCGGGGCGACACCAGGGACTGCGGCAGTGGTGGAAATACCAACGAACGTAGACTTGCCGTGCTGGCGGGCTGAGCGAGGTGGTCGCAGCCCATTGCTGAGAGATGCCGGCGGCAGACGCGACGGGGCAGTGGTGGTGGCGGAAGGTCCGGATTCGGTGGCTGTGATGGATGTGCCTCCCGCATAAACATCTGGAATGCCATGCCGTTGCCATGCCGCCGGGCCGCAGAGAACGTTCCCCTGAATGGCAGGTGCTCGGAGTGGATCATCAAGTCCGGTTCAGGAAGTTATAGCGCGTTCGATGTTGAGGACGGAAGAGATTGTGCGACCTACTCTGAGCTTAGGTGAAAACGTTCTGTTTAATCCACGTGTCGTTGGACTAGAGTCAATAAGTCGCTTTGTTGTCTTTGTTGGTGGCGACACTGGACGTATTGGCTGCTGAAGCCCAGTATATTGGTTTAAACGTTTAAATGATAGCGCGTTTGCTAAAATAAAAGAGACAGGACTGAATGCGTTGTCGAATTACTTTAATGATCTTATATGTCAATAGGAAACGCTCATCATATATTCCGTGTGAGAGACTGTGAAGAATACAAATCCGCTAACGACGTTTCTCGTAGCTGAGAATTCGTACGGTTCCTGCGCTATCAAAATATTTACCGTAGATATAAAGGAACTTATTTCGCCCCTGGTCAATCCTAAAACATTAACTAGAGCAGATGTCTAAATCACAAACGCTTTCACTAATGTGAATAGCTTAATTAGAAATACAAGACAAATTGTCAGGCAAGCAAATTGAATAGGCATTAAAACAAAACGCAATGCTTGAACACGATAGGATGGATGCTTGGGCGAGTTGGTGAACCATACTTGACGGTGACAGCGCAGGGAAAACCAATCTCACACCAGCCACTCAGGAAGACAAGCCCACGCGCTGAACTTACAACTCTTGTGTACTCGACTACTTCATTTTTCTCTTCAACGTCTGGGTTGACTTTTCAGTACGTGATAAGTAGAAGAAGTAGCACGAAGTACAAGGAAAATTCTAAAGACAAGGCAGAAGAACAGTAAAAGGGAAGAAAAATAAAGAAACGGAAAAAAATATATAAACGAAACACTTTTAAAAATCGTCCCTCTCCCTCATCGCTATCATTTCGATAAAAAATTGAAGCTCTTTGGTCGACAGCGCGATAGAAGGACTACTTACACACTTGTCCTTCAGCTGTGCTATCCTTTCCGCTTCCATTATTGTTCTTGTCCATGCGTTTCGACTCTTACCTATTAGAGAACAAATTTCAAAATGTGCTACACAGCCACAAACTCGACAATGGATTCCGAAGTGTCCAGCTACGACTCAGTGGGTGTTATAAAAATGCTCACTTAAGCGATCATTCAAACCTTATGATTGCCTGCCTTATGATTTTCAAAGATGGTAATAGAGAGGAAGTTGGATATTCCTAAGCCCACCACATAGCTTTGTGTAAAGAGTATGGTTAGCTAAACAAGACGATTATTAGCATAGTATTGCATGGTCACTTGACGTTCATGGAGGGCATGCACCCAGAGGACAGGCAACCCTTTCTAGTTTGAGCCTTTTGTGCTTCTTGCCATGCCGCCTGCCCTGCTTTGCTTTCTCGTGATTGCGCCTCCATTCGCAGCGAGTACCATGTGAGCACCTTGACAGTCACTCCTTTGTGGCGCCATTGGGATGAACACATCTTCAAGAGAGAGAAGTTGAACGTTGTGTGGGGAGTGTTTGAGAAGTAGTGACACACCTGAAAATGAGTTCGCGCATTCGAATTGCACATTGCCAATTTGTCACTCAACACTCTAAAAAAAGTCTGTGCGTCTACTTTCACGCACCTCACTCGGAGAGCCAATCACCGCAACTTACGGAGGCAGCTCATTGAATGACAATGCCGAAACATATGTTTAGACCAAAAAACGCAATCTGAGTTATGACATTTAGCAGTGCAAAACGTCACGCTTGCATTGCTTAATGTCACAACTCAGTCTGTGTTTTTTGGTCTAAACATATGTTTCGGAATTGTCATTCGCTGAGCTGCCTTCGTAAGTTGCGATGATTGGCTCTCCGAGTGCTGTGCGGGAAAACAGACTCACGGGCTTTTCTTAGAGTGAACTCTTCCCAGATCATTCTCGCAAAAAGTCATCCGGCAGAGCCAATCGATAAAGATGGGCAGTCTGTCAGTTGAGATGGAGGCTCCCGCGAGTGAGGGGCGTTTGCGTGAGCTGTGTTCTGTTCCGGGCAAACCGACGACATGAAGTCCGGTCTTTCGGGCAGTGTTTATACCGTGACAGTCAAATAAAGTGAAAAAGCAACGGACCCCGGACGTGGTATTTTAAAGACCAAGTGTGTGAGAAAATACAAACGCGGGCTACCAAAACGACAACGATGCAAACCTCTCTTACAAAGCCCGCGTCTCTTGGCATCAGATCAGTCAACGTGACTATAAACTGTTAAGGATGGTTTACAGATTTATCTTTGAGTGTGCTCAGTTGCATTGCGTTACGTAAGCGCTTACAAAAAGCAGACACGCTGGCGTCACGTATCGGGCAGATTCAACCAAACACGGACAAGAACTTTTGTCTGCAAAACCAATTCGTAAAGGAAACAACAGCATACGGGTACATCAGAACAACGATTACAAGTGAAAAGGACTACCTGTTCAACACGAAAAAGACAATATAGCAAAATCTAAGAAACTAAAAGGAGCAGTTTTGCATCTCGCCCGACACTCGTGTAACAACAATTCGACAGGAAGAGCATTGTGAAAATCACTAGCAGCCCCGGCGTAACCTACGCAAACAGCGTGCTTATCTACAACGCAGCTACACTCTGCTTTGACCCACAGGCTAAAATCGCCGGTCATCTGTGAATGCGCTTAAATCGCAGCTTCAACGTAACCGCTCAAGGGCCGACGTCAACTTGCGGATGTCGAACCCACGAAGTAGCGCCCACCGACGCCGGAGTCTATAAGCGACCTTCAAGCGTGGCAGCAGTGCAGCCAGTCGCAGTGCACTAGGAGGTGTTAACATATCCGCTTTGACCCTCAGGCTAAAATCGACGGTCATCTGTGCAGTGCGCACAAATTGCAGCTGCAACAACACAACGCGAGGGCCGACGACAGGCTGCGGATGTCGGAGCCACGAAGCAACGCCCCCCGACGCCGAGGCTTAAAAGACACAAACAAGCGTGGCAACATTGCAGTCAGTGAGAGTGCAGGAAGCGGTTTAAGATCTCCGCTTTGACCCTCAGGCTAAACTCGCCGGTCATCTGTGAATGCGCTCAAATCGCAGCTTCAACGTAACCACTCAAGGGCCGGCGACAACTTGCGGATGTCGAACCCACGAAGCAACGCCCCCGACGCCGAGGCTTAAAAAACACCGACAAGCGTGGCAGCATTGCAGTCTGTGAGAGTGCAGGAGGCGGTTTAAGATCTCCGCTTTGACCCTCAGGCTAAAATCAACGGTCACCTCTGAGTGCACACAAATCGCAGCTGCAACGACACGACGCAAGGGCCGACGACAGCCTGTGGATGTCGGAGCCACGAAGCAACGCCCCCGACACCGAGGCTTAAAAGACACCGACAAGCGTGGCAGCATTGCAGTCTATGAGAGTGCAGGAGGCAGTTTTAAGATCTCCGCTTTGACCCTCAGGCTAAAATCGACGGTCACCTGTGATTGCACACAAATCGCAGCTGCAACGACACGACGCAAGGGCCGACGACAGGCTGCGGATGTCGGAGCCACGAAGCAACGCCCCCCGACGCCGAGACTTAAAAGACACCGACAAGCGTGGCAGCATTGCAGTCTGTGAGAGTGCAGGAGGCAGTTTTAAGATCTCCGCTTTGACCCTCAGGCTAAAATCGACGGTCACCTGTGATTGCACACAAATCGCAGCTGCAACGACATGACGCAAGGGCCGACGACAGGCTGTGGATGTCGGAGCCACGAAGCAACGCCCCCGACACCGAGGCTTAAAAGACACCGACAAGCGTGGTAGCATTGCAGTCTGTGAGAGTGCAGGAGGCAGTTTTAAGATCTCCGCTT